AGCTGTTTGTCAGGCATTCCAAGTGTTGTTTTCTGCTTGTTTGTTTTGCAGATACTAAAATGGACCGTAAAGACAAGTTGTTTGTAATTAATGAGGTAACGTAGAAGTTAACTAGTGCTTCTTTCCCTTCTTTCTTTCTGTGGCAAATCTACATGTAAGAGAAGAAGGACAGCCAGTGTGACCCTGTCCAAAGAAACTATGGCTAGCCATGTGGGTTGTGCAGCCTCATAAATGAAACCTACTTGTGTTCAAGCAGTGTTTAGGTTAGAATGGGAAGTTGACTTTGGATTAACACAGTCAAATCCAAATCTTTTAATTAAAAATTGGCTTGAGGAATGAAAATATATAGCATATATATATATATGTATATTTCTGTGTAATTGAAAGATGTCTTATAATACATATTTGGATTAATTGTGGGACAAATGTGTGACCAGCTCAAGCAATGTAATAAGATATTGATAGAGTTGAAACAAGACCCCATTGTTACAACCCCTGTTCTAACTCCTGGAAAGCTCTTGAGATTGCTTGTAGCCTCAGGAAAATACTGCTCCTGGTAACAAGAACTTAAGATCTTCCCGAAAGTGTTTAAATTAAAGTGTGGGGACTGGGAGGAGTCATCAATTAAGAGGAGACCTTTTGTGTCTGAACTTTTTGTTTCAGAGGGTAGACATTAGTGGGTATGTGGAAAATGTGGGAAAATGTCTTCAGAATTCTGTAAAAGACTAATTTGTCATGGTTTGTGCAGGTGTGTGAAATAAAAAACTGCAATAAATGCATCTTTTTTGAAGCGAAAAAGAAACAGGATCTGTACATGTGGTAAGTAAATGTTTGTTGCTTTTTCTTTTCCGTGTAGAAGTAGGAATGCTTCTGTTGTGACAGAAATCTGTTGGAGTAATAGAGAAAACGCATGAAATCGTGTTGCTTAGTTAAATCTGTACTAATCCCATATGTGTATAGGTAATGTGAACTTACAACGTATGATTGATTTTATTACACTCTTTACAAATGCATTTTATAGAATGGTTTAGAAAAGAAATGTGCATAAATTACATTTCTGTTGAGTATTAGAGTACCCAAAGCAACTTATTTTAAAAGTATGTTAAAGGAATTCAATACTGCTTTTAAAAGAGGCCGGAATTGCTTCAGTACAGCAATATAATGGGTTGGGGTATACTGCACAACTCCAGCACACCCTTCTGGCTGCCACTAACGTTGTCATTTTTCTCCCCTCCTCTTGCCTCCCCACTGCAGGCTTTCAAATGCGCCCCAGGGACCGTCAGCCAAGTTCTTAGTGCAAAACAGTTAAGTTGTTGAAATCATTTGGGCTTTTTATTTTCTTATCTGTTCAGTCTTCTGTAAATGCTAAAACGAGGCTTTTAATCATTGTAGTTCACACACTGGCTGAGTTGAAGATGACTGGAAACTGCTTAAGGGGCTCACGGCCCCTTTTGTCTTTTGATCCAGTACGTATAGGTTTTGTTTTTCATGGATTATGCTTTCAGTTTATTAACACTGCTCCTGTATTTGTTTTTTTTTTTGCGTGTAAAATTACATTCTTCTTTTACAGACGTTTGACAAGGAGCCACACTACGCCTTGTTAAAAGAGTTGTTTATTCAGGTTAGTTTGAAATTCTTTTGTCCAATGTTTCATCCTTCTTGGAAAGTAAGATGCTTTAAGTTAAGGTGTTATATGATCGACCTCTTAAGATTACAGAAAATTAGACTGTCTCTTATTACAGATATTTAGTACACCGCAGTATCACCCCAAGAGCCAACCCTTTGTAGACCATGTATTCACGTTCACCGTTACAGACAAGAGGATCTGGTTTCGGAATTATCAGGTTAGTGGCTCCGTTTTGCTCTTCAGATGGTGCTGTGAAATGACTTCATATCCGATCCATTAGTTGTAACTGTGCAGAATCATTATTATCAAGATATGCGGGTGTTCAGTGCTTGCACCAAGCAGTGTCAGTACCTTTGTGATTCTGTAAAGGTAGCCTTCGTAATAGGAAGTAGTAGCCCAGGAAGGGCAAGTTTCACTTGTTTTTTAATTTTACCTCGTCCTTTGGCTCAAGTTGCAGCTCCTTCTTTTCCAAAAGAGAAACTCAGGATTATCACTCCATGAGAGGTAAGTAACATATTCTTTTTATTGCAGATCATAGAAGAGGATGCCTCTCTAGTGGAAATTGGGCCTCGTTTTGTTTTGAATCTCATCAAAATCTTCCAGGGTAGCTTTGGAGGACCAACTCTGTATGAAAATCCCTATTACCAGTCCCCAAATACGGTAAGCAGCTTGATCTTTGTCTTTTCCGTAGAGCAATTCCTTGGAAGTCTAGTCTTGTGAGCTCTTTGTGCAAAACCCAAGTATGCCTTTCCCTGGAATCCTTGATGGGAGAGAGTGCCTGAGCTGACTGCAGGTGTAGAAGAGCCTTGCATAAACAGAAAGGCCTCAACATTCCTGTCAGTGAAAAGATACCGCTGTGCTGATAACTAATATTGACAGTTAGGCAGAAGAATCCCCACCTGTTTAATAGCTGATTTTTTTCTTCTGTCTTGCTTACTCACCACCTGACTTGATTTTAAATTCTTATTTTTATAGCATCGACGGCTCATAAGATTATCGGTGGCTGCTAAATTTAGAGAGAAACAGCAAGTGAAGGAAGCACAAAAGATAAAGAAAAATGAGAGTAGGATGCTTGTTAAAGATGACTTCACTGAAACTGTCTTTGAGACTCCAGCTGAAGAAAAGCCAGTGGAAGTACAGCTTGTGAAACCAGAACCAAAGGCAACTGTAAAAGATAAGAGGAAGCCACGCAAAACTCAAAGGAAGAAGCAAAAAAAGCTTTTCAGAATTGGAGCATAAATGTAACAAATGCCAAAATTAGGCGGACTTCCTAGTCATCTATGAGACTAGGTGTATATATAGCTAGCTATATTTTATAGCTATCTTTATGTAACATTGTAAATACCTGTTTTTATTACAGCCAAACTGACTTGACTTCAGCTTTTGAGTAAATAAAATGTCAAATTATTAGGATTCAATCTGTAGTGTTGTGAAATGTTGCAGTTTGAAAGCCGCAGTGGTGGGAGGGGTGGGAAAGGAGATATCAAATCAGTATGGGATTCATGAACAGTCTGTGGACTGTAGGTCTGATCGCCTTCCTAGGAGCAAATCGAGTTCCCAAATAGCGTGATCACCTGTAAGCTCGACCCTGGCAGTATCGGATTCATGAACAGTCTGTCAACTGTAGGTCCCCAAATACGGTAAGCAGCTTGATTTTTGTCTCTTCCGTAGAGCAATTCCGTAGATGGGTACTAGACCTACTGAACGCAGGTTATTAGTTAACCACCTATGCAGAGTCCATTATGCTTCTAGAGATGGACATAGGGGTTTGTAAAAACAAATATTGTCCAAAGGGGGGCGGGGCGG